GTTTGCTGTGTGTCATGTTGATGATGTTCGTTACACATGTGTACGATACATTACTATTTATTATATTAATGTAGGAGCGCTGCGATTACACGCGTATAGAGTTTATTTGACGGTGTTGAATAATTAACGATCATAATAATACTTATATTCCGCTCGCTTGACAACGATACGATGTGCTTTTTTTTTTTTTGAATTGAATTTCTCTTGCGTTCATACTCAACGAACTCGTTGTAAAATTTAAAAGTCAATTTCTTTTTTGTATCTTACTCTCTATACACGATATGAAATGTTAAAGAGTGATTTACTGGTGCGTATATGAAATTACATTACCGTAACGCACAACGATTAAAATATCTTATTCGTAATAACAGACACGATATAGCATTCATTTGCGTTCAAAACGATTAAAATATACATTTGTTTATTCACTTTTGTTTTTCAATAGGTAATGTTATAACTTATATTATAGGTACTGCGCAAGAGTATAAATATTGAATCATTATATATTATATTACCTATATGATTTTACTCGTAAATATCGGAATTACCATTAACCCTTTTACATAATGATATGTACACGGATTAATAATAAATTTGTATTAATAGTGATGTACAGACATGTATAACGGTGTAAAGGGCAATTTTTAAACAAATGTGATCATTAAAACGTTCGTTTGAATTCGCTATCGTTTTCTTCTATATTTGCAATCGTCTATCAGCATACATCAATTAAAAACGATTGATAAAATTGCGGGGCGATTAAAAAATTATGTTTGATAAACGTTATTGATTCTGTGTATTATTATATCTTTATTTAGAAACTAAGTTTACGTAATATAGTCCATCTTAATAATATAGAATACGATCTATTAATATCGATAAATTGTGAGCAATTACGATTTTTTTTTTTATAGCCAAAATAGAATGTGTTAATAGATATATGTTCTTAATAGAACACATAATATTGTTGTTTAAACTATACAACAAGAGATTTTTGTTCATAAACTCGAGGTCTGTATTAATTTTGTTTTTCAAGTCATTAGTACATAAACGGTTAAGGAACTACGGTTGGTATAGGTAAGGTTTCATCAAGCGTTATTGTTGTGCTACAAATAGCGTGGAAAAAAACTTAGCTTTTTAAACCGAGGTGCGAAAATTAAAAAATCGCTAACCAGCGTCCACATGAATGGGTTTTCAATAAAAGCGTAGCTTTAAAAGGAAGCTGTAAAAGGAACCTTACGCCAAACTACAATACTACATTATATGTATAATTGATGCTCTCTTGTTGATGTTTCGCGCGTACAATAACCATTAAACAATGACAAATTATAGAAGGGCCCGGTGATGCCTTTGATATAATATAATTATAATAATAATAATATACAAACACATCTTGTTATATTGCACACACACACACACACACACACACATACACGCTCATACATGTATATATAGTATTTCATTTTTAGACGTTTACTTCGTATAGACGAGCGCCATGACGCGTCAGACAAATAACAGTCATTGGATGCTCTCCAATGTCAGCCTAATGAACTGCATTACTATACGCAGCCGAGTAGTAATAACATTTTCGATCGTCCCACGTATCAGAAGGAAATCCAAAAGGAAAACAGATCATTTCGTTTGGAAATAAACCAAACCACTATATTCGTTTCGAATGTTTTTTCTGTGTACACGATGCATGTATATTGCTTATACATTTTGACACGCGTGCACATAACACTCGATATCTGTTGCACGCACGCTCACAATTTATGGTAAACTTCTTATCCACCCATCTTCTCGTAATTAAATAACCCACGGTACTCTGAAATTCCATCCGCGATTTTTTTTTTTTTTTTACACAACTTTTAAGAGGTTTCGGTTCCACGTGTCTACATAATATTATGTACGTACGGAAAACAGACGATCATCCGCGCAAGTCTTACTCTGCTAAATATAGAATTACAATCTAACCAGTGCAAAAAATGTACGGTCCGATAGAAGAGAACAATAATAATATTCTCATTAACCGCACACACTAAAAATCGAATGGCTCGAACGAGATTTGTGCGAAATATTATTATGATATACGGTTTCAAACGAAAATAAAATTAGGTACATAATTCCTATCGGTCGGCAGTTCACCTATGTATAATAATATTTCGTTATACTTTTTGTGAAACGTGTACGAACAACAAATATGAACGGTTTGCGATAAAAATCGTTATGTTGTGCGTATACGTGTGACGGTCACACGTGTCGTTTCTACGAGTGTCCGAATCACACATCGCTTCAACGGTATCTTACGGCAAAACTTTCGCTATTGTTATGTACGCGGACAACGACTTATCAATATTCTGTACGAGGATAAAACATGTACAAACAATGAGCACTTGGAACGTCAATAGCGTAAATATCACAATTCTGTTAATATCATATTATTTCACGAGGATGGTTATTCGTTTAAAACGAATAACCTAACTATATATCCACGACGTAAAGTCTGAGCAATCAACCCCGTTCCGTCCCCCAAGACCATATTGTAATAACCACGAATTAAGATATACGGTACATACCATTTTATTAAACATTATTTAAGCCCCAATCATTTTGAAGGTTAATCGCCCCTCCCAAAAAAAAAAAAAAAAAAATAAGCACCTATTTACGTGCCTGTTCAGTGTAATACGAGTTCTAAGACATTGAACTCTAGACAAAATAGATCGTACGTGGTGAAGAAAATGTTGAAGGTGATTTTAACCCAAATTTAATCGCAAAATAAAATTTTTATGAACGTAAAATACTGCAGTTTGTTAACACTTTTACTTCACAGCAGACAAACTTGGACTTCGTAGAAAACTGAATGCCGTACACCGTACCGTAATAAAATGCAAATTATGATTTTCTGTCTTTGTCACGCACCACCTAGGGATTTACACGTTTCCGGTTGATCAATAAGTATTTAAATCTTAGTTAAGTCTATTTTAAACAGACTTTTCTACTTTTTCGATGCTATCCGCCAAATTTCATAAAACAATGTATGTTATACGGTAACTATTTGGTACGTCAAGTACGATATTTAAAAAGAGTATGATCGTCGGTCAAAAGTCGACTTAACGACGAATTCAAATCAGCACCCATTCGTGATCCTTATCGCATCGACTGGAAATAGAAAACGTCCTGCGTTGCGCGTGTGATGGACAGATACTGCACACAATCATGGCTGCAATCACGTTGACATTTAAACAACACACTGGCGCGCCCGTAGGACTGCACTCGACGGCGGTGGCATTGATGACGACGACGACCGTGCATGTACCTACCTGATTACACACACGCACACGGTTGGAGGCAAAAAGAGCGGTCACATACACAATAGCCAACGCGCAACCATCATAAGAAATAACGGGAAACGTTTTTTTTCCTGTGTCACACGCGTTTCCCCTAATTCACAGACTATAATAATGCACACCTATATATACGCCGTATAAATATATTACAAAAATATATACATACGTATATGTTGCCGCACATGTATATACAAGAGGGTTCCACGCCGCGACGCACATCACCCTGGTTCACATAATACTTGTAGTACCGAAAATTTTGTAGTCGTTGTTGAAGAATTTGGTTTGGTGAACGATCTCGAAAAATTAACGGAAAACGTAAGTGTTGATTTTCTCTCCCCCCCCCCCCCCCAACCGTTTAAACAATATTATTAAGGGTACGAGCAAAATATGTATAAATAAAATGTGTACAGGATTTAAATATTATACTGCTTGTTCTCGCAATCCGTGTACGATTATCGTGTGTACACCGATATATCGGTGTAACACCGATATGCCGATAACGAGTAGCCGTAAAACGATTTACCGTGTTGTAGCGACAACGCACGATTAAAAAATAAAATAAATCTGTCGTCCTAAACAAGAGTTACACGCGTGGTAATTAAATAATTGATATTATAGGCATTAATCGTTTAATTATAATAATAACTGGTCGGTATGAAACAGTAACGTCTAGAAAAATTGAAAATGGCATGCGCACAGATGTCAAAACTTAAGCAACCGATGCCTACATTTCTCAAGGAGGGACAATATTTTCACTTTTATGTATATTGATCGGTGTCTATATCATAAATAAATACTAAATTAACTACTAATTGATATAAAATATTATAGGCTGTAGGCAGCCAATAATGGTGAAAACATATCGTACACATTCTATACCACACAGATGGTCGATAAGTGCAGAAAACACACAATAACATTCAATGGTGAACGTGAACACACCTGTACATCTATCGAATGAGAATAACAAGATAATGTTCCAAAGTATTTAAAGATATAACGATTTCCCTGTATTGTGATAATCTCGAAAATGTTATCTTTAATGGTTCGTAGATAATCTAAAACCATATTACCGTATAGCGTATTATAAAATTATCAACAATATAACAAATAAATATTGGAACCGAAAAGATTACTCTAACCACTACTAAATACCAATTTGATACATTTTTATTTTCTCTTTAGCATTTATAAGCTGGTAAACTCTTAATATATTTGTTACATACTTTTCACAACTCGTTCAACAAACACTGTTTCCAAATACATTTATAGTTTACCACACGCATTTGCGTTACAATGTTCTACATTCATAATAACATACGTTATTAATTTTAACGATAGACTACGAATTATATTAAAACCATGAAAAATTATAGTTATGAACGTTTACAAAAACATTACCTACCTGCTGCGTAAACACTAATGGAATCTTGTTTAGGCGCATACGTGCAGTGAAAGAAAAATTAATGCAAATACAGTACTCAACTCACGAAGGTATCGTACGTATCGATATCGCCGTATTACACGAATAGGGCAAAGGAGAGAGTTAAGTTAAGAGTCAAAGTTAAGATCGAAGAGTGTAATAAGTACACTAATAGACAAGAGTTTAAGTATAAATATAGTGATTTAGAAGGAAAAAATACTCGTAGTTACCTGTGAATATGCACAGTGGGCCCCGTAAAGAGTCACCGGACAGCTGGATGAAAGCCAGGAACAGATCCCCAACCAACAGGCAGCCGACGTAGTTGACTTGACACTTCCAGTGAAGCACGTGGTACGTGCTGGGCAACATACAGCTGGCCACCAGGGTAACGGCCAGGAAGAACACGGAAAGCAGTAGCCCGAGAGGGTACAGGGTGAACCGTATGTCCTCGCGGTAGCTCTTGGTCACGTGATCGTGATGGTCGTTTCGGGGCGCGCACGTGAACACCGTCCACCTGCGCGGCTCCTTGTCTTCGAGCACGTGCTCCAGGCAGTAGTCCCGCGGCTGGATGGAATGGCCGTCGGCGGTGCGCAGCACGCCACCGGCTGGCCACAGGTCGCCGACGGGCCAGTGGGTCTCGTTGATGTGGCCGGACATGAAGAACGAGTCACCGTCACACCGCGGGAACCCGTATATGAGGTCGGCCGGCAGATCGGCCGGGTCGTGAGGGTCCGCGATCTCGCATGCGGCCTTCTCGTCGATGTACACGGCCGCGGGGCCGCAGCACTTCTTTGTCTTGTTCGGCTCGTCGGGCGGACACACGAGCGCGCCGCTGCGGTCCAGGCAGTACTGGTCCGAGTCCACGAGCGTAGTGGGCCATAGCTGGGCCCACAGCGATCCGTTGATGAACGGAACGAAGCCAGATGGCGAGCCCAACGGCGAGGCGGGCAGGAACACGGCGGGGTGGCATGGTGGCCGGGCCGGCGTCATGCCGTACGATGGCGGCGGCGTGCTGTTGGGCGCCAGGAACTGGTTGCTGTACACGTCGAAGATGACGGGCACAAAGTCAGGCGGCTGCGACACGGCCACCGGGGCACACCGGCCGTGCACGTCGGTCAGGTCGAGGGTCTGGCCGCGGCCGCAGCACCTGAATACGGTCACGTTGTCGGCGAGCGCGGCAGCGGTGACGGGCGACCACGTAGCCACCACCGTCAGCGTTAGCAGCAACGTTAACGATTTCGACGACATAATACCGGTCGATGGTTGCATTTCACGCGGCCACTGGTGGCTTCGTTCGTTCGTTCGCGCTCGATAATCGGATCACGACGATGACGACGGCTGCGGCGGCGATGCGGCGAAAACAACGTTCATAACGACGGCACAACGGCCTCACTTCGGCGGATCACGGTGGTCGCGTCGGCTGGGCACTTGTTACGACGGTTGGTCTCGGGAGGTGAATAAAAAAAAAATGAGTTTTAGACCGAGAGGGGAAAAAAAACGTCACCGCGTGATGTATATCGTCCGATGGGTGCTAATACCATGCGATGGACGACGTTATGACAATATTATACGGATATATTTTGTACGCGATTTGGCGCGCGCGTACACACGGACTGGTTAAAGACGGACGTGACACGTACAACGCGAACCGACAACAAAACAACACTGAACGGACGCCGCTCGACCGCCGCCGGTTCGTTTGGACCGTCTCTCTCTGCCGGCACGGTGTTCCCCATCCACTGCGGCCGTGCGCTCTCACCTCCCCACCGAACGGAAATAATGCAACGAACCCGCAACGTCGTCGCCGCGGTCGCTTATCACTCTTGCTCGCCGCCCGACCGTCTCGCGCCATACGGCTCTCGTTCGTTTTACGGCCGTTCAGCGGCGAAATGTTTGACGGCGTTCCTGTTCTTACGGCCAACGCGATTCGAAAACCAGTGCCGTAGCAACGGAACACTGCGCCCAGGGCTATAATTCAAAATGCGCCCTTATGTATTTTTAATTTAAAAATAATACGCCTATTAGACATTATTTTCAATGATTGCTTTGATTAACATGAACAATATTGAAGATTTTGTAAACAAAATATACGACATTGACCGTTGTAATTATTAACATTGAACGCAAGATTTTAATTTTCTTGCTCTCTCATGAATTACGCCCGGGTCGTAGGCACCTCTCGCCATCTCTTTGCTACGGCCCTGTCGAAAACGTTACCTAATTACGTAATTGTTAAACAATTAGGGAATACCGTTTATGTTGGTGGAGTCCGTATTGATTTTAATTTGTTTTTTCTTTTCGGTATTTCTTTTCTAATTTCACCGACCGTCTTACGTGCTCCTGTGGGTAAAACACTGTTACGCAGCGAATGATCCGCGTAATGCTCGGCCACGGCAGTGGATTTGATGAAAAACGCCCGGTCGGAATTCTGGTTTTTGTGGTCCACAAGATTCGAAAATCGCCAATTCATATAATTGCTGGAGAGTACTTTTGATCGTATGCACTTATTTTTATATTTTTTATTTTCGCTTTGTACAACTTGGCCAACCGTAAAATTCAGCAACCGTGATCACATGCTCATTCCTGGCGAAATGCTGGATCACGGCAGAAAGCTCTACCCTATAATGTATAAAGGTCCGAATTCCCGTTCCGATGACGCTAAACACACATGTTCGCCATTTACATACATAATATTTAATAGATATTGTGTGTATAATATTATGATGTGATTATCTTGTAGGGATGGGCATGAAATCAAAATATCTGAATTATCCGGATATCCGGATATTTAAATCCAGATTTGAATCAAATTCTTATCCGGATTTGCCGAAGTATCCGGATTTATGAATTTTCTTTTCATATAACTTATAATTATTTTAAATTTCTAGTAAAATAAATTATTTTATTTTATTGTATAATACCAAAAAATTAATATTATATTTTATGAATTTCAATTTACTTATCATGATTTCAACAGTTTTTATAATGTATTATTAGTTACCAAAATTATAATTTATTAAATTGTTGAGTTTACTTTATACCTTTATGACTTACAGTGATATCAGTGGCGTATTTACGGGGGGGGGGTCTAGGGGTACTGGACCCCCCAAGAACCTCTCCAAAAAATAAAAAATAAATTAAATTTCTTACATATTTGCAGAATTGGCTATGTTAAACATTCACAAGGAAGTTGAAATTACTATTGATGTAGTGATAGAGAAGTTGGCAAAAAAATCGAGACAACTAGAATTTATTTTATAACAATACTTTATAATATATAATGTTAAATACAATATATAAGTATATATATATATATATATATATATATATATATATATATAATATTACATTATATATTTAGTTCAACTTCCTCCAAAAACTGCATAAGGATGTAACTATTACAATATAATATACAGTTTATATTAGTTATGTATAAACTGTGGATCCCCCCCCAGAAAAAATTGAAAATACGCCACTGAGTGATATCATGACTGAATACCCAATTAACTTATCTTAACTGTATAACTTTAAAATGGTTATTGAATAAGATTTTCTGAAGATAAGTTAAATTTATGTAAATATAAAAATGAGTATTTGAACAGCAAAATTGAATTGAACAATCCGGATAGTTCGGATAATCCATGAAATCTGAATTTTTTAAATCCGGATTTGACAAATCCGAATAATTTGGATTTCTTAAATCCAGATTTGCCCATCACTATTATCTTGTCGAAACGCAGAGTTTGCTCGACGTATTAAAGTTGCCTCGTAAATATCAAACTACTTGAAAACTCGGACGAAATAGTTCTATCCAAGAAAAAATAGCGGTACACGTGTAAATGTTGAAAACCTATTATAGTGTGACTCGATTTGTTTTGGTTGAAAAAACGTCCAAAACGTAATCAACGCTAGAAATAGGTGCCAAAAAAGTGCACTCCACGAACGGATGGAAGAAGTATTTGAAAAGTCTTTGAAACTGTACGTACATTATTTGACGTTACGAACCCAATGAAACCTAAACATAACAATATTAAAAATTGTTGATACGTTCTTAATTGGCACGGTTAAATCAATATCATTTCTACGATAGTAAAAAAAAATCCATTGAAGTAAAGCACCAAAATGAGTAACGAATGTCTACACTGAAGTGCACGCAAGTTGTGTTTTAGAATTTTAAATATTTTCTAAATATTAAGTTCGTAATTATTTTTAAAATAAAATTTGCTGTTCAATAACACCCACTATTCTTATTTTTTTGGAAGAAAAAACACGTCAAGGTGGGCAAGACATTTTTTGCAATTATCTCTACGACATCCATAGCGATAATTTAACGTATTTTTTTCAATACGTTCAATAAATAAATACATTAAATACAACGTTGGCATAATTCGTAGCAGTTTGTCACACACATTTAAATAAAAATTACTTTTTTCATTGTATACATATTAATCGGTTTTGCAGTGCGATGTCAAATTAGATAAATTAAAGTAGTTTCTCTTCTTAACATAAAAACGCATACAAATTAATTGTACTATCGGTAATTGATTTTGTATTTCAATTTTTTATCATAATGCTAAATAGTTGCAGTTCTGAAAAAAGCATTTTTGTTACTTTCACTTTAATTTTATATACCTATACCTATACAAAATTTAAATTTTGTATAATTTCTCTAATTAATTCATTAATAATACTGATTCAATAAGCAATATGATTATTAAAACACATCTTATGCAAATTCATTAAGTCAAAGTTAAATTTTAAAATATATTCATCAGAATGTACATAATTATATGGGTTGATATCTAATCACTTCATCAATACTTGAATAATTGCAGGTTGTACCGTAATTATCAATTAAATGTATTTTCATTATTTTACACATTTTATGTAATATACCGAGTACACAGTTGCCAGCATATTATTATAGGGTTAACCAACCCTCGCCACCGACTTCATCACCACTATTAACAATATGTTAACTCATTCGTTTTATTGTATGTGTACTTACACGAATGTACATCGCGTGTATATACATATATATGTGTGTGTGTGTGTGTGTGTGTGTGTGTGTGTGTGTGTATACCAAAGTCGATTTGATTATTCAATATAATATTAAAATTATCATTGAAGTAATTGCAGAATTGTTATACTGTGTTTTTAATCGTTATTTTATAATTCGTTAAATTAATATTTACTTAAAAATAAATAAAAACAATTAAATAAAACAAATTTTGATTAAAAAGTTATAATATAGTAAGTACATAAGTATAAGTTAACAATTTAAATGTTAGGTTAAGTTAGATTAAATAAGAAAATTATCGTATTTCTCCATTTCAATGTAATAATTAAACACTAACTTATCTATATATATTTGTCGTATTGATGTTTTACTTGAAACTACTTTATTTTAGATATTCAATAATATATAAACATAAATTACGCTACAATGAAAAAATATAAATTTAAATAAATAAATAAATAATATATATATATATATAAAATACTAATAATATATGTATTTAATATTTTTTTGATTATATTATATTATACATAAATACCTACTATGCATTGCAAGTTACACAACGTCAATGCGATGTTGAATTTAGATCACAAAAAATAAAATCCTAAAACATGGTATCCACATTACTATTGAAGTTTTATTCTTGGGACATAAGCAGTTCCATACATATTACAATTACATGAATGTAACACAAAATGTTGCCATACGAATAAATAAATAACACAAAATGTAACATTACATTTTTCAAAATAATGTTGTAGGAACATCGCCGAAATATTCCATTGCACAGCGGGTACATAATATTTATTCATATAAATACTATAGTAATAATACGATTTAATTATTTTCATTTTTGCCTATAATTTATACAGTGAATGGGTATGCATGTTTTGCGTATTATACTGCCGTAAAATTTGCAAGAATAAGCGTAATTCGCATACCTAAACGGTATTATAGTTTATAAATATTTGACTGGATAAAGAATTTTATCGCATTTTATCGCGAACAGTAAAATTTTTGATTCAAAGAAATCCTAATTGTTATAATATAAGACTTATCTGCATAATCATTTTTTTTTACTTTATATACCCAGATACGTTTACAAATATATGCAGTAAAAGTTCTATCGTTCATGTTATTTTTTTCAGATGTGGTTATATATGGTCATATTTATAACTCATTATTCATAAATTATACGTCGATAGTAGTAGTGTTGTATTTATAGTTATTAGATTTATCATGAGAATAGTCGTAATAATAGTTTATAATGAATGATTAATTATATTACTTGTACTTACACGTGTTAGGTTGACTGACACAAAAAATCCCGATTTCACCCTATCACACAATAACCCATTATATGTCACTAAATAATCTCCTCAGTTGTTTTAAATATATATGCAACTCTTAACAATTATACACTTTCTAAATAATTATTACTCATATTATTTAAAACTGTTATTTTACTGATACGATAGGACATTAGCGTAACCAGGATTTTTAAATGGGAGGGGTAAAACTCTTTTTCGGACTGGTTAGGTAATAAAGGCTTTGAGAGTTCACCCAGAATCATGGGTTTCACTCCCTCCCCCCGCCGCCACCAAATTAAAAAATGTATTTTCAGAATTTTAAGTTTTAATAATAATTATTAAAATTATAAATTAACGGTGGTCAGCTACGGTAACATAGCAACGACATAACATGGAATGTAAAACTATAG